ACACACACACACACACACTCTCTCACACACACACACACACAAACATACACATACACACTAAGGTATCTAATTAGACTCCTATTGTTTTTATATACAACTAGTTACAAATACGCACCCTAACAGTAAACGTTTTTGCATTTTAAAATAATGAACAAAAAAACTTTTCTATGAGTGAGGACATCCCCAAAGTGAGGTCTTGTCCGGTTTATCAGTCTTCTAGGTACAAATATGTCTCCAAAATATGATTATGAAAAATGTCAATATAACACTTGATGGAAAAACCATGTGTAAGTAAACACAGGTGACACTGCAGAAGTGTGAAACGCCTCTAAACGCTCCTGCAGTCCTCAGTGTGTGACTGCTCTCTCCCGCTGTGACCTGCGTCTCCTGCGATGATCAGGAAAGGTCACGGTGAAGGCTAATCCTCGTCTCCAGGGAGCGACACGGCTAATCACTACTGTTTCACAACGCCGTGACCTTTAACACCACACTGACCCCGAGACGCCTGCAGAGACTCCGGCTTCAGCACTCACCGGAAAACAACGCATTCACAACCATCATTCTGACTCGAATTCAGCCTCATTCAACACTAAACATCCTTTCTGATGTCCTGACTCACTCTGAATAAAAACACGGAGGCCTTCACACACACCAGCATGAGAAACAACCAACAATCAGGAGCGTTTCGCAAGATTTGTCCGTAATAGTAAAGGGGAACCGCATTTTCTCTCAGAGTCTATTATATAATGAAATGTTTTTGTGATTTGGATCCTTCTCTTCATATTCCACAGACAGAAGAATTAAGAGTCGCTCTCATCTGAAATGTCTCAACATTTAAAAACAGACATTACTACTGATAAACGCATGTGATTTCAGTTGTTTTATTTGATTTCCACACCTCTGTCTTATTTTCAGAGGAAAATGTCTCCAAAATGACAAGAGTCCCGTACAACGAACAGAAACTGTTAATGTCACCCAACAAACAGAAGTAAAAACAGAAGACAGTCAAATTCACTGCTTAAAAAACAAAACACACAAACTGTGTAAAAATGATTTTAAAAACAGCCACAGTCACGTGACAAACATTCACTCAAGCTCCGCCTCCTTCGTCCCATTGCCGGCGGAGGTATCATGGCTCTCTGCACTCCCATCCGCTTTCTCTCCATCCCCGTGTTCCTGCGTCTGATTGGCTGCTTCCTGCGGGCCTGTGCTCTGATTGGCTGGCTCCTTGGCCACTTCCTGCAGGTTGTACTTGCGGTAGAGCGTGTAGTCCTTGAGGACGCTGACGCAGCAGACTGTCTTGATGATCTCGATGATGATGGAGAGCTCAGGGTTGGTCAGATCCACCTTATTCAGCGGATTCAGCTTCCCCACCAGACCTGAAACCCAGCAGAGGAACAGACAGAGATGAATGGCGTGTTTGAGGCAGCGTGTGATGTGTGTGTGAGTGCTGCTGTACCAGCCACGGCTTTGATGACCTCCTCTCTCTTGCTGTGGCTGCTGTTTCGGGCTTTGAAGCAGATCTGGTAGGTGGCACGCAGCGGCGCTCTGAACCAGCGCTCCAGAAACACACTCAGAAACTTCTCCATGTCCTCGGGAAACGCTTTACACGTGCCGCTGACCGGCAGCATGCGCAGGATCACACGGGACTTCCTCTTCTTCGTCTGATAGAGGTCTGACAGAATGTGATGGAC